TCTTTTTTGCGGTAGTCATTAAGTAAATGCATTGGTCGTTAAGTGAACCAGTGGTTTGCTATGGACATGGTTTTGCCAACATCCGGAAGTGCCAGTTTTCAGCAAAACCTTCATAAAACACCGTCACGTGACCACGGGAAGTTGCAAACAGCCATAAATGTGGCCGTTTTACTGAGCACCCAAAGTTCAGTCATGTGACTGCAGAGTAGGTGTGACCGTCAGAACTTCGAATCTGGGTAATATGTAGCCCTAAGGTAGGCTGGTCGTCACATTGAACAGATGCTAAGCCATCGGTCATAAGTCGAGGATTGCTTGTAGTATATTCCCAGTCTTTTTTTCCTTTTAGATTAGATTCCCCTACTGGGTGCCTCTAATTCCTGTGGACTAGTGACTTTAAAAGTTTTGAGAGCCTGCTAAAATTCCAGCATGAATCAGATTTGAAGCTTCTTCCTTGCTGTGCTTTTTTTCTCCATCAGAGAATACTTTAGGGTAGTCCTCGACGTACAATTGTTCATTTAGTGACCGTTCAAATTTACATGGGCACTGAAAAAAGGGACTTATGACTGTTTTTCACACTTAAGACCGTTGCAGCATCCCCTTGATCACGTGATCAAACTTCAGATGCTTGGTGACTGACTCATATTTATGACGGTTGCAGCGTCCCAGAGTTTATATTCTATATCCGTGGTGGCGAACCTATGGCATGCGTGCACAGGTGGCACACAGAGCCCTCTCCGTGGGCACACACACCGTCGCCCCAGTCCCAGGCCTTCAGCTGAGTTTTATAAAACCTTTTCGCTTTAGGCCTCCGCCGCCCTGTGCAAAAAAAAATATCAATCAATCAATTTCAACTTCTCGCGGGAAAAAAAAGATCTCGCCAAGTTGGAATTGATTGATTGAACTTTTTAGTCCAACCCAGTCTGCTGTTACCACAGCAGCCACGCCCACCCAATAGGCCACACCCACCCAATGGGCCACGCCCACCCGGCACCCAACGATACATAAGTGGGTTTTGAGTTGCAGTTTGGGCACTCGGTCTCTAAAAGGTTCGCCATCCGTGTTATATATTCTACTTTTACTAATGAAAAGGTCAACTTAGGATTGGCTGTGAAAGAGCACCAGTTGGTTCCAGGTTTGAAAGTGGATTGTTTTTTTTTCAAAATGTGGACTTTAGCAGCACCGCTTCTCTTTCAGGATATCCTCTTTGGCCTATTGAAGCAGCTGCTCCATCGGGAAAAAGAAGTCAAGAGGAAGGAACCCTTGAAGGTCGTGGTGATGTCTGCCACCTTGGACGTGGAGAAGTTCTCGGCGTTCTTCGGGCATTGCTCGGTGGTGGAGATCCCAGGAAGAAAATACCTGGTGGAGGAGGTCTTCTGTGATAGTCTGGGCCCCAGAGATGCCAACAGCTCTGCCTTCATCACAGAGGTACTGGCTGGTCACTTTCGTTTTATTTATTTGAGGTGTTCTTGGTGGTCTTGGAGCTTGGTTGTTACCCAGCTAAGTAACATCATCAGTGCTAGAAGGGAATGGGGTGTGAGGAGGAGGAGGAGGAGGAGGAGGAGGAGAAAGAGGACTGTGGGGTCCTTAGTGCTCTCTAAGCTTGCTT